ACTTTGGGCAAGTAATGGTTATGATTATGTACCATCAAATTGTTCTCTACTCTTAGTGAACGCATAGATGGATTTTCTCCATAGCTATCTGTCCCTAACCTGGTCTTTCAGGTCTTCCAGTGGTATACCCATCGCCACTGTAATTGAGTCCATCCACCTTGCTTCTGGTCATCCTCTTTCCTTCCAACTTTCCCAGCATGACAGCCTTCTCCAGAGAACTAGATCTTTACATAATGTGTCCAAAGTATGATACAGAAACCCCCCCACCCAAAAAAAAGAAAAAAGAAGGAAAGATAATAAGCAAATATATTCAACATTAACAACTTATCACTGTCTCTTAAAATATAACCAAATACATCTTCATTACATACCTCACCCCATTTTCTATAAATTCATCTCTAATCTTCAGTTCTTATTAATCAGCAAAGGTCCAGTAAAAGTTAACAGAAATACCTAACAACATAAATATATAACCTCCCTTTTCATTTAATCAAATCCCCCCAATCCCTCTCTTTAATAATCAGAATCTCAAAAAAGTAAAAGCTATTAAACACTACCAGAAATAGTAACCCCTTATTTACATATCAAAAATAGTAATATAGATATTGCAGACTAATCCATTTCAGCCAGTTGAACATTGCCAAAAAGAACTATCCAGTCAAAATAACCATTAAACATCACCAGAGATAGCAACTCCTTATTTAACCATAATCAAATAAAACAATTTTGTATTTTTTTTTCTCCGTCCCAGCAATTTTTAAGTCCCATAAATAAAGTTCTGACTTCTGCTTTCTTCTACTATCTTTGTCTCTTCTCTTGGAATTCTTGTCTTCTTTATCCAAGTTCATTTTATAATTTCTGTGTAGTAACTCCAGTAGGTGTCTTATATTCCAATTTAAAAAGGTAATCCACAACCCTCTTTTGATATGTTATTTGTATGTCTTCTTATAACGCAAACACTTATTGGGCCAACATATCAAACGCTTCCTTTAAAGTAGCCATCTGGTGCCCTCTATAGTGATCAACCTTCAAAGTCTTGTTATCAGCTTGGAATGTGAGAAAAATTATTCTCACTTGAGATTACTTCCAACTCTTTATTTAAATCAATTTCATCCAAACCCTTAGCATTTAAAAACTTTCAAAAACAACACTATAATCACCCTTTTGCTGTATATTGCAAGAAATAAAGAAACTTACTTAAACTTATGAAGCTGGAAACATGTATTTTCTTTCTTTTTAAATGGAGAGACTCACCCAGTGAATACTAAATTTCTGGGGCTGAAGGTTTTTCAATCTTAAAAAACCAATGAAAGAAAATTAAGCTCCAAAGTGATTAAAAAGATGAGGTTTGGTCAAACCTTGAGTCCATAAAAGGCTGCATTAACGGCTCAGACCATGAGGGAAACTGTGACTCCCAGCTGATTGCAAGCAACTGCAAAAACATTGGTTTCTGCAGTCTATTCACAAAAACCAGCTGTTCAGAGTACATATGGGTAATCTCAAGATCTCTCTTTGATCCAGGGGGAATTTCAGCAGTCCAGATCCTGCATCTAGCTACCTTTTCAGCCGTAATGTCTCCCATGATTTGCAGAGCAGAGAAAATGCAGAGTGTTAGTTTGCCATTCCTCACCGAAAGCTGGGATTCCCATTTTTCTGAACACATTTCACAGTTTGACCTGATCAACAGCATTAAAGGCCTTTCTATAATCAATGAAGCACATAGTGACTTCGTTTTGGTATTGTTTGGCTTTCTCAATTATCCAGCATGCATCAGCAATAATGTCTCATGTTCCTCAGCCTTTTCTAAATCCAGCCTCAACACCTGGCTTCTTTTTTTCCACGTAGGGCTCTAATCTGCACTGGATAATCTTAAGCATTCTTTTGCTAGCACTGGAATGAAATTAAGGATATTGTATGATAGTTTGCACACACTGATAAATCTCCTTTTTTTGGCATTGAATTGTAGATTGATCTCTTCCAATTGGTTGGCCCCTATGTTGTTCTCCAGATTTGCTGGCATAGCTTGGTTAGAACCTTTACTGATTCTTCTTCTGTTGCTTGCCATATTTCTTTGGGTATTCCATCAGTTCTTGTGGCCTTCCAATTAGGTAATATCTTCTAAGGTATCTTGGATGTTGACGTCTCTACTGCATAGTGTTTCAGTATACTCCTTCCATCTTCATGTAATTTCCTTTGACTTGGTTGCTATCTGTCCATTGGTGTCATTTAGCATACCAGTTTGAACCTTCTTCTGAGTTCAGAGATCTTTTAAAAGGCTATCCTTGTCTGTTTCCATCTTCAGTGTCTTTACAGAGGTTGCTGTAATACTGCTTCTTGTCTCTTTTAACAGCTCTCTGAAACCTCTGTTAAGTTCCTTCCTGAAATGTTTGTCTTTCTTGGTTTTGGCTTCTCTTCTTGGCAACTTCCACAGTTTGTTCTGACATCTAGTTTGCTTTATTCTGTTTCTTCATCTTTGGCAGTCTCTTTTCATATTCATCCTTAATAACTTCTTTAAGTTCATTCCATAATTCCTCCAGTTCTCTATCGATTAGGTTCAGGACTTTAAAGTGATTCCTGATGTTCTTCTTGAAAATGATGGGTATATGTTCAAGGTCATATCATGGAAACTGGCTAGCTTTCTTCTTCTTTATCTTTGTCTTTGATGCTATAATCAAGCCCCTCCACCTCCTTTTAGTAATAATATAATCAATTTGATATATCTGGTGATGTCCATGTATAGAGGTGTTGTTTTGGTTGTTTGAAGATAGTGTTAGCAAGTGTAGTACCAGAGGAGGCATACTTCCCTGGTCCTATAAGGTGATGTTGCTTAATTAATGGGATCTAGAACATGCCAACCCTGACTGATCTTATTAGACAAGCAGAGAGAATAGGGAGACAAATGGTCCCACAAATATTCCTGTCCTTTGTACCTTGAATTGTACCCAGAAGACACTGGTAACCAGTTGTAATAGGCTCTGAGAATAACCTTAAGGAAGAGGAGGAAGAGCTGCAACCAAGGCAAAGGTCAGATAAGAGAAATTTGAGTCCAAAGCAGGAATGGAATTTGAGAAAGTATCTCAGACTTGACCCTCCCTAGTCTTTAGGATAAAGGCAGGGAGAGGGGGAGGCACATTCAGAGTTACAAGATTCTGTTACTGTAACCCTAAAATAAAAGTAGTTTTAGTATTCATGAGTTTGGGGTCACGTCTGGTCTACCTCGGAGGGCTGACATCAGTACAGCTCAAATAGTAGTAGATTTACATTGTCATAACTACTTGCACTGCAACAATCTGGACCAGCTGTATCTTCCAAACAGTCTTCAAGGGCAATTCCATGCATAGTGGGTTGCAGTAATCCAGATGTGAAGTGACTAAAGCAAGAATGATCATGAGCAGGACTTTCCAAACCAGGAATGGGCACAAATGGTACAGAAGATGAATGCGTGCAAAAGTCCTCCTAATCATGGCTGCCACCTGTTCTTTGAGCAGGAGACTAAAGTCTAGGAGAATCTCCAGCCTGCACACCAGTTCTGTCTGGAGAATATAATCCCATCCAGAACTAGCAATGGAAGATCTCCAGATCCAACAGGACCCAAAGTCCACAGCTATTTGGTCTTACTAGGATTGAGACTGAGCCTTTTTCTCTCCATCCAGATCCTACAACCTCCACATACTTCCATTCTATTCTTGTCTGTGTTCGTTCTCTCTCTCTCTCTCTCTCTCTCTCTCTCTCTCCTTTCTGTTTTTTATTTGTTTATTTCTTTTTTTAGTCTATGTTATAATGTTTGTCTTGGTGTTATTTTGATTCAGTAAAAAAGAGAAAGGAAAAAAAAGCTTTTTGTTTCCGGGTATGTTTATGACTGTAAAAGTTATATGCTAATGGTAAGTAAGTGAGATGTGTTGTTCACAACAGTGGTAGAAAATTGTAATTGAAATGGTCTGGGATCCAAGAGATAATATTTCAGGTATTAAAAATATGCTTGCATCTGGAAACATATGCATTCCTTATAATTGTCATTATCTAAAACAGTACACAGTGTAAATGGTGGCCAGGCAGCTATGAAACTTTGAGAAATCTAATCTACAGGAGAGAGAAGCATCTAATTTTATGCTTTACTTTGACATGGTGGATTTCACAAGGCAGCATTGGAAGCTCCTTTTTTAATATTGTAGAAAGCAACTATTTAATGTTCCATGGTATTTTCACATAAAATAAAGCAGCTACTTAATGTTGCGTGGCATTCTCTTTTTTCCAAGAGAATGAACACACTCAGGAAATTGTTTGTAATAGCTGTTGTAGGATAGGCATTTTTCTTAGTTACTTCTCCAGCTTTTGGAGTTGCTTTGTTATAGTCCACCCAAATGTGAAAGCCCTCTTTACCTTGACTTTAGCTTTGGTGTAATTGACTGAATTAATTAGCCAAAATGAGCCACCTGCAAATGAAAATGGAGCCTTTTATTGGGTTATGTTATTTAGAAATGTATGTGCTTCCTTAATTTTTGCATTAATAAATCATTCTTGGATATTGCTACTTATAGGCAGGAATTCAGAGATGGTATTTTATTTTTGTTTGACTTTTCAATTTATCTCTATACACACATACAGATATATACCCATATATTATTGGCTAATAATCATTGTAAGCTATGTTTAAATATTCATCCATTTACTTAGAATGAGAATTATTGTGTAATCTTTAAGATTCTGACCTCTGTCTTCATCTTTGTTTATTATCTTACTGTTTTATTATCTTTCTGACTCAATTTGCTTCTGTTATGTCTTACAGAACCTCCTCGACCAATAGCACCTCCACAGTTGCTTGGAGTTGGACCAACATATCTGCTCATTCAGTTGAATGCAAATTCTATTATTGGGGATGGACCTATCATCCTAAAAGAGGTGGAATACCATATGACCACAGGGACCTGGACAGAAACTCATGCTGTCAATGCACCGACATATAAGCTGTGGCATTTGGACCCAGACACAGAGTATGAGATTCGTGTTCTTCTAACCAGGCCTGGAGAAGGTGGCACAGGTCAGCCGGGCCCTCCGCTGATTACCCGAACCAAATGTGCAGGTATAACACATTGTTCCAGTCAATGTTCTATGTTTTCCTGTGATGAAACAGTCCTAAAATACTATTCTAGAATCAGCTTCCTAATGTAGTAACTAAGAAATCAAATGCATACATTTCTGAATGTGTACTGGCTCCTTTCTTTTAATAACAGTTAAAAGCAGAGACATAAAGCTGAAGCTTAATTTTAAAGAGTAAGCCAAAAGCCCTGAGATTTAAATCTAAAAAACTTGAAGGATAGCTTCAGCAAGGCAATACTCCTCAACTGTTCATATAATATGAAGATACTATTTATTGTTGTTATTATTTATTCATTAGATATATATCATATTTTTCCACCAGAAGAGTAAGGTGATACTTAATACTTAGTTAACATACAATTTTAAAAGATTACTGAGATAATACATGAACAATTGAAAAGCAGAATAGTAAATGCATTTCTATTTCTGTTACAAAAGTGTAAATATCTAATATGGATTGGGTCTTGAGTTCTTACACAACAGCCTTTATTTTCTTGTAGAAAAGTGATTTCTCGGTATTGAATGACATATTCTTCCCAAATCCTGCAAGAGTTCAGCTGAAATCAGCTGAAATCAGAGAGAAAGTGATTACTATGTTGAATCTTACTCAGTTATAAACCTAAGTGATTTTGAAACTTGAGAGGAGGGGGTTATTTCTTTAACACTTTTAAAAAACAACACATGAAAAATGGGGGGGAAACCTCTATTCTAGTAACTTTCTCTGCTACTTCATTAAATCTTTTGATAAAATATTGAGAAGTGTGGATTTTATTGCCACCTAACATGTTTTGGACCCCAGGTCCTTTACCAAAGACACTACAAACGTAAAGTTTATTAAAGGTTTGTTTTTCAAAAATGGTATAAACATTGCACTTCTGTATAAATCAGTTAGTTTATGAAAAATCACCATGACTGTTTCAGAACTAAATCACCTTTGCCCTCTTTGGATATAGGTACTGCATACCTTTCATCAGAATAAAAAAAATCAATTCTAAAGACCCAGTTTGTTTTGGTTGTTCATGGTTGCAACAAAACAGCATGTACTGTTGTAACTTTGAAACAAAAGTCTTGAAACATTTATTTTGATTCCGAAAAGCTGAAAACAGCTGGCATGAAACACGTATGTATTTTTCAGTATATGGAGCTGCATATATCATTGAGTAGATAAACAAAAATAACAATAATCTGCATAAGTTAGTGTTTATTTGGGATGTGTCAGGTTTGATGCAGAAGAGGTGCTTTAGGACTGATGGGAAAACAAATGTAGCAACATTTTGTAAAGCAAGGTTCTGTTCAAAGCCTGAAAAAAGATGCTGCTGCTTTAATATTTCAACTCATTAAAGCACCTTTTTGTTTATTGTGATTTACAAAGGTAGATTCCTCTCTGAAAAAATGTTTTCACCATTCTGCTCAGTTGTAATCTCTGTGTTGACTCTATCTCTAAGATCATGATCTGGAGATCAAGAAAGAAGTGTATATAAGCCTTCATACTGGCTTTGAAATGACATGAAATGGCATGTTTTATTATGGCCTTTGATGAGCATTACAAAAAGGAGAAAGACAATAAATTGCTACAGCAAACTCATTCCCAAAAAATTATCATAAAACAATAGAACAAAACATCAGAGTCAAAGTTCTGAGCAGTCAACTGGCTTGGAAAGGTATTTGGCAACCAGCAATGTGAGTGAAGAATTCACATCCCTTAAAAATAATAAACATAAAATTTATATATTTGACACTCAAATTTAGAAACAATTTGAGCAAAGTGAGCAATATAAGGGATACTATAAGAAGATGTGGGCAAAAGTCTCTACTTCTCTAAAGCCACAAAGGGAAAGTCACCATCCCTGTGAATTTTTGAATTCAGGAAGATAAAATCTGTTACTGCTTCAGCGCCTTCTCTGCCTATTTGCATTGGGCTGGCATTGCTGACATAAGCTTGGGGGGGGGGTTGTTTTTGTTTTAATATTGAGCAGTAGAGTGGCTTTTGTGCTGTCTTGCCTCACCTTTAGCAAGAGATTTCTTAAGTCTTCCTCACCTCCAGCCATCAAAGAGATATAACCAGCATATCTGAGGTGGTGGTTGTTCTTCCTAGCAATTTTAATTCCAATTTCTGTTTTTTCTAATTCAGCATTTTTCCTGATGTATTTTCAGCTTAATAAATAGGTGACATTATACAATCTTGGTGCGCTCCTTTCCCAAATATAGATACAAACGTTTTATAGCATTTAATAAGGAAAGAAAGATCTAGGATGCTTCAAAATATCAGGAAGATTAACCACCCAAGACATAGGGGGATTGTAGAAAGGTGAGGATTCCCAGGTCTGAGAGAAAGTTTCTATCAACAGTATTGCAGCTAAAGATACAGAAAATGATTGTGTTAATTATTTACAAGAGAGAATGTCTTCCTTTTTATTCTGCATAAAATACTTCTCTTTGAGGCAGCTGTCCTAACATATATGATGAAAGTACATTCACAGTTGTCTCTGCGTTTAATGATGTTCTGCCCCAGGCATAATTTAGATGAGAAGGAGATGTAAGCTATAATACTTTTTGGATTTTCAGCCTGAGGACATTCCCATCTTCATCTGCTTCCAAGGATAGCTTGTTCTTTTTCAACTCATAGAACTAAAGCAATAGCTCATTAAGGAACACTGCTAGCTCCTGCAGAAGAGCAAGGTCAGTTGTTGAGCTAGAATTGCTTATCTTCACACAGCTTCATACCTTGGCACAGGTGATACTGTATATAAAAACAGAAGAGGAGCCCTCCTATAGCAGACCAAAGGCCCGTGTAGCCTAATATTCTATATTATGTGGTGATCCAGCCATCATCCCCAACTTTGACTAAGCCATTTTGGTTGGAAGAAAAAGTACTTTTCACAAATTCATTTTTTAAAAAGCTGTTCATTATACTACAGACTTGGGCATTGTGCACTGGGCCTCTTAAGGAAAGGTAGCCTGAGGTAGATTGCCCCTGTTGCAGGACAAAGGATTCCATGTAAATTAGCTTTACTTGAGGCATGAGATTCAGGATACATATGATGCAAGAGAAGGAGAAACCAACCACGAGGCTAACTACTATAAGGAGGAGGAGGAGCTTTAGTTCAAGAAGGAGATAAGTAGGGGGAGCAATCATATTCTGGGGAAAAGCAGAGCTGCAGCTTACAAAGCTGATAAAGGAGGATAGTTTTACAGAAAAAGTTGGTGTGCCCAAGTTTTATTCCATTTCTTAAAGTTGCCTAAGCAAAAATGTCAATTTTTAAGACCTTTAGTCCAGTATGTCATAAATGCAGCCAAGAAGTTCTGAGGTCACCGAAGCATAGGGAGATTCTTCAGAAAGGTGCAACTAAGTGAAGTTTTTTTTGGGGGGGGGGAGGTGAGAAATTGTCCAATGCAAGTGAGTCTGTTAAAGAAAATGATCAAGGGGTGTCATGCCCTCAGTCTTCTGCCTGAGGTGCATGTACCTACTTATTTAAATATTTTAACAGGTCTAAGTGATGTTGTATAATCTAATATAGCCAGTCTAAAATACTTTCTGCCAGCAGCATTTGGCCAATTATGGTGTCAGGTTTAGCCCAAGGAACTCCAAGAGACAATGCAAAATCAGTTCAGCTATGTTT